AGCTGCTATGATAAAAATGATTCCATCAAAACCAATGTGTGTTGAAAGATTCGCTGATTATCCACCATTGGGTCGATTTGCTGTACGTGATATGCGTCAAACAGTGGCTGTAGGTGTTATCAAAGATATCGAAAAGAAAGTTGGAACAGCAGGCAAAGTCACCAAATCGGCAGCAGTAGCTGCTAAAGGTGGCAAGAAATAGCAAGTACAGTATTCTCGTAAACACACATCACGAATATATGAACAATATATCTGCCAATCACAATTAATAACAAATAAATCTGTCAGTATTGTTCAACTCTTCCTACATGTATTCTGGGAAAGACGACGACAACCCAAAGACTTTTTCTCTTTAAAAACTGCCCTTCTGAATCCATTTTGTCCTTTCGTTTCCTTTGTCTAACCAATAATGTCTTTTTTCTTATTCTATATCCTTTATCATTCCCTTTCTTAAATCATTTGTCATCAGATTTTTGCCGCTTTTTCAGATAATCATGTAAACAGTTTCAATTCATTGTAGTTTTTTTCGTGATGATACCATCTTATGTGTTTACGATGGTTTGTTACATTTGTTTTTTTTTTATTTCTTGAAAATGAGAAACAATGTAATCACTAATAACAAGCCGATAAAGAAGAAAATCAAATTAATAAATACAATCATAATAATTTAGAAGTGTTTGTCGTTTTTTTCTAGTTGTTCTCATATTAAAGTTTGTGAATATGTTGCATATTCGCAAACTGTACAGAGTATAATGTGCAAATTCATTCTAAATATTTCATATATTGATCAGATCAAAAAGTACGACGAGTAAGATTATGAATATCGCACGGATAGATGTTGACAAAAAAAAAGCGTTATAAAAATTTTTCTGAATCAATAATCATAAATGTATCGGATCTGTCTATAAACAATATTCAACTTTTTACCGTTCTTATCACTATATATTTGAGTTCAATATTAATGTAAAAGTAATGTCATATAGAGGTTTTAAGCTTGTTTCACAATATGGACAGTCAAGGAAAAATTTTACAATGGAAATAGAATATTGAAAATACAAAGCGCTAAATATATTGCATTTTTTTTTACTTAAAGTTAAAAAATGCAATCACTCAATATCAATCAATTAATTATTAATGGATCAATGCCACTGGCCGATGTATCACAACATGTTGTACATCACATACTTGATATGAATATCTTAGAAGACTCTTTGATAAATAATATTTCTAAGTTATCTACACATAAATTTACATCGCCTCTTTTCAAATCCGATATATCAGTTCCATTTGATAAGTTTTCTCAACAATCTTTATCCTCAGACCATATAGCGCAAACAATACTTGCTCATTCTTCCTTTTCAAATACAAATATGACTATGCTATTACGATCAGCACTTATATCTGGTACTTCATCCTTTCGTCATACATTACGTGACTTCAAAATTACACATAAAAGTATATTTGCTGAAGAAATAAATCAATCTGATAAACATCAAAATACACTTTTATGGTATTTAACTATAGCCGGTCTCTATAACTCTATTGAAGAATTATATCAATTAGCACGAATTGAATTAAATATTAATGTGAAAAATGGATTATTTAGTCAAACTATTCTTCATTATACTGTAATTCATGGAAATATAGCAGAAATTCGTCTAGTACTTGATATTGGTGTAGATACAAATTTGTGCGATCGATTTGGTCGAACTGCTCTGCATTATATAGCATTATATGGTACAAAACATAAGAATGATATTGAAATAACAAAACTTCTATTGGATCATGGAACTTTACCTAAGTATGAATTATAAGAATGTTTAATACAAATGAAATCTATATTTCTTTTTCATAGTTTAGAAGATGATATTCATCAAACAAGTTTGCATTTTGCAATTAGAAGAGAAAATTATGATCTTGTTGAATATTTGATTACTTTACCAAATATGAATGTCTGTATAAAAGATAATCAAGGTGAATAACAAAATTCTCTTTTGAATTCTTGCTCATTCGATTATTGAAGATTCCTCCTTTCTTTTGTTTTATCATTCCTTGCTCTCAAAGAGAATACAACTGATCTGCATGAAACTCATGTAACTCTGTCTGATCGGACTGAGATTTTTTTTTTGAGATACCTTAGACTATATCTCAGAGGTAATTTTAAGCTTTTTCAAGAATCTCACATTCTTTATTTTTTATGAAAAAAATACGTAAGGATTCGGATCAAAAAGTAGGGTGCTGGCATTCAAGACTCTATAAATCCGGATAGAAAGATCAAAAACGAAAACGATCGATTTCACTTCTGGAAAATACTTCCAAATATCTATGGTAGAAATTTCAATGCTTTCGCACAAAGTTAGATGGGAATTGTAAGCAGACTCGTTGTAGTCCTATGAAAAAGTATGCTTTCCCAGAAAATCACGAAGATCTTGTTTACAAATTTTTTTCTTGAACATATGTCTCCTTATTTTAGATGCTCTATCTATGGTAAGAATTTCATGCGGATCGGTTATACCAGAAATAGCTAAGAAAAGGAGAGTACTCGTAATCCAGCATTTTGTTTCTATAGGATATACTCCACTTTGCTATTTATGTGAACATATTCTCAATTTATCTGATATTTCAATTGAAAATAATCAATGTAAAGATAATCTTGAACATATTTTTAAAATAATTAATCTTATCATTGATCGTTGTCCATCGGATGAACTTTCATATAATTTTCATATTACAAAAAATGATAAAATTGGTGAAAATCTCTTATTACATGTATATAACAAACTAACGAATCTTACAATACCATTAAATATAAATACTTTATTTCATCGTCTACAATCAATTATCATTGGTACTGATCAAGATCATCGTTTACTTGTTGAACGACTTCTTGAACTACATTCATGGAAATCTGCAGTATTTGCTTTATGTAATACAGATAATGTTAATATATCAAATGCACTTATACAATGTATAGTTCATGATCCACATATATTATTAATTAATAATATTTTATCGTCATCGAATGTCTCGATTGTTTTTGTATTAATATTTTATGCATTAGCAACAAATATGACATTATTACGAAATATTGTACCAATGTGTAAATCTATGATCAATGATGAACAAAAAACAAAAAGATCAATCGATGATAATGATGAATCAGTGAATATGATAAAAATCTCATTTTTGTTTTCGAAAATTTTTAATAATTTTTTATTTATATTTTAGTGTCATTTGTATATAAATAATTATAATTTACATACAACTTATGTTACATTTATTCATACTTGTTTACATTATGCAAGTTTTAATGTATTTTCACTTAAACATCTATGTCGTTATTATATTCGTCATTATTTGAAATCACATATTATTGATAAAATTGAAAAATGTTCTTATTTAAAGTTAAAACATCGTGATTATCTTAAATTAAATGAACTTTTATTAATCTATTCGAAGATTCATGATTTATCATTTATAATATATCTCATTAAACGCTTAGTTAGTCATATTTTTATAATAAAATAACACGATGTATTTTTAAACTTATTTTTTAGTATAAAATTAATCAAATTGATGAATATAATTTCTTTGAAAATGAAATAAATGATAATCATGAA